AAGAAAAGAAAAGAACAGAAATCATTCAAAAGGTCAACATATTAAAAGCGATTAAGGAACTAAGTAGAGAATAAGTAACAGGGTATCAGTTGAGCGCAGACACGCGTACATATGCGCTAACAAGGTTAATTTCACTCCAATAAACTAGAACTAACACCAGAGACAAGAAAAGAAAGAAAAGAAAGCATTCAAAAGGTGCAACGTATAAAAAGTAAAAAGGAAATGAATAAGTAACAGGGTATCAACCGAAAGCAGAAGCGGGTACATACGCGCTAATAGGTTAATTTCCCCCATTACGGATCAAGAACCAGAAACAAGATCATAAAAGAGAGTGAAGCATTAAAAAGGTTCAACGTATAAAAATCGAATAATGAACAAATAGATAGCGAATAAGTAACAGAGTATCAGTCGAGCGCGAAAATGGGTAAATACGCGCTAATGAGTAATTTTAGCTCTACCAACCAAGAACAAACACATGATACAAGAAAAGAAAAGAAAAGAAAAGACAGTTTTTTCTCATTGTTGAAAGGCAGTACGGATGCCTATAATTGCTTACATCCACTTCATTCAAACTTTGGTGGAAAGTTGTCTCATTGACAATCATACCTTATCTCTTTATTTTTATATTTAAAAGATGCAACGTATAAAAATCGAATGAGGAACAAATAAGGAACGAATAAATAACAGGCTTTCAATCCAGCGCGGAAACGGTAACATACCCAATAAAAGGGTAATTTCACCTCTATGAACCAAGAACTAACACCAAGGACAAGAAAAGAAAAAGAACAGAAAGCATTCCAAAGGTTCAACGTATAAAAAGCGATTAAGGAACTTATAAATAGAGAATAAGTAACAGGGTATCAGTTGAGCGCAAACACGCGTTCATATGCGCTATATATTTAATTGGGTTATACAAAATATTTTTTTTACTTTTCAATAAATCCAAAACAGACAGTTATTAACATACAATTAAAAAGACAATAAATATGTGAATAATATTAGTTAACTCGCTTTGGACAAGATAACCTTTCTTTCTCTGATTATCTAAACTACTTTGGTATACAAGACTTTAGTTCAGGAATGTACACAACTGTCGGATATAAATATTGATTAATGACTATGCATCCGTAGTGATGTAACAACGTAAATATTAGTTTTTCAATATTCTTTAGTCCTTAATCTCCAATATCAATTTTCACCCAAATGTTTCACCAAAAACATGTTAAAATAACAAATTGGTGGATATGGATATGAGATACGTAAACAGATCTTAACTACAGGTAGCTTTTAAATGTACTGAAATTGTTTAATATACATAAAAATCAATAAAATATTAAACATAACCGGTAATCGCAACTGTAATTGGTCTAATTACTTTTAAGATAATTTCCATTGTTGCGAGGATAAAAGATGATGGATATCGTCAGCTGAACAGAAATTCTGCAGTTCTTACAAAAAAGGTAAAAAAAAACGCTGAATGAATAAAATTGAGAATGAAAACTGGGAATGTGTCGAAGAGACAACAACCCGACAGAGCAGAAAACAGCCCAAGGCCACCAATTGGTCTTCAACACAGCGAGAAAATCCCGTACCCGTAGGCGGGCTTCAGCTGGCCCCTAAACAAAAATGTGTACTATTTCAGTCACACTAAACACCAAAACATATAAATGAACCAAAATTAAAAAAAAAAAACATACAAGACTAACAAAGGCAAGACGCTCCTGAATTGGGACAGGCGCAAACATGCGGCGGAGTTAAACATGTTTTGTGAGATCTCAACCCTCCTCCTATACCTCTAGCCAATGTAGAATAAACAAACACACAGCAATACGCGGAGTAATACTCAGTTTAAAAGAAGTCCGAGTCCGATGTCAGAACAGGTAACAGAAGAAACTAAGCAAAATGACAATGATACATAAATTAACAAAGGACTACTTGCAGTTACTAGTATGCCAGCTCCAGACATCAATAAAACTGATTGAAAGATTATGTCTTCATCATATGAAAATCAAGCACAATCCCTCCCGTTAGGGGTTTAGTATCATACCATCATAAAATATATGAGAGGAACATAACCCGTATCATGCCAACAATTGGTGTTTATTTCCGAGGCAAAGACACTATGAGTAAATCAATAATAATTCCAAAAAATGCCATTTTTAATGACCTGACAACAGTATCGTAACTATATCCCTTCTGAAAAGTATGTTTAAAGGTTTTGTTAGTTTTTGAGTCGAATGACGACATTTTTGTGCTTTGTATAGAATATTACCATAAAAGATTGGATGTGAAATTACTGAACGTATAAGATATCTGCATGTTGATTTATGTTCTTGTACCGATGATAAAATTTAGAATAGCTGTAAATGTTATGTTTAACTCCGATATTTTTATTCATACAAATTAAGATTAACGGATAGATAAACTAGATGCCCAATTGCCTGCATCGCTTTCCTAGTTCTATATGAATCTGCAACAATGGGAACTCTCGACATTGTAGACTAGAATGATATTCATCACAAAAATTGCCTTTTTGCTGAACTTGTTTTGCTGATCATTTTTTTTTTTTTTCATATACAATTTCTCTTTATTTTCTTTTGTTTTTGCCCAAAACACAAAAAGGGCATTTCTGTACGTCCCTTTCCAAATTCAGAAGCCTTTAATTTAGTGGATGTTGTTTGTTGTTGTTTATCATGTTTATTTTTCATTAATTGTTATTTACATATTCAGGCCGTTAGTTTTCTCCTTTGAATTGTTTTACATTTGTCATTTCGGGGCATTTTATTGCTTCCTATTCGGTACAGGTGTTGCTCTTTTTGTTGAAAGCTGTTCCGTAACCTTTAGTTGCCAGCCTTTTTCCTTATTTGGTCTCTGGTGCAGAATAAATTCATTGACAATCATACCACATCTTCTTATTTCTATAGACAAATCGTCTTTTAATGGCCGTATAAGAGTTAACCAACGATTTCGGCAAAATTTAAGTTATTTGGAAATCTTGTCTTGCTGATCATTTTTATTTAAAGTGTCTATCTTTTTTTTTTATTTTCATGGCAAAAAAGTAAAACAAATATATAAAAAATCGTGATATTAGAGCTCCAACTCCAAAAAGGAGTCGACTGATGATTTCGGTCATGTTGACCGATTTGTATATCTTGTCTAGTTGATTATTTCTACTATTTAAAGTGTCTATCTATCTATTATAGTTTGCAAGATAATAACCAAAAACACTAAAAAGAGCATCAAAGAGCAATAACTCTCATAAGGAGTCGACTGACGATTTCTGTCATCAGACTTATTTGTAGATCTTGTCCTGCTGATCAGTTTTGTCATTTAATTATGTTGAGTTTCTTTCTATCTTTAACTGTTTCAAAATAAAAGGTAAGACTGATATTTAAATCGTCATTTAAGGGCAATAACTCATATAAGAAGTTTACGTAAATAGACAGTAGGTAGATCTCAATATTCTGAACCTTTCATCCGCTGTTATTTGATGCAGATGATAATGACAAATTTTGATAACGTCAGATAATTATTTAACCTTGAAAACTTTTTCCAAGAGGCGGTCCAAGAAAGATATATAAAATCTTATCTTATGCAGATACCAAAACATTTTTTGAATTCAAATAACAAGCAATATTTCAGCACAAAAAATTAAGCAACAGAAATACATATGGCTTTAGAACCCTGGATCTCCGTTTTCTGGCAAATTTGCTTATTTTGTGATGCACTCTATATGGATCTTTCCACTTTTCTTTGGAAAAACCTTTTGAATTTGTTCTGATTATAATTTTTTCTTCCGCCACTTGTGTTTCTGAATTTTTTTTTTTAACCATGTCTAGAATATATTTGACATCGACCAGTTATTGCGCTTTTACAATAAGCCGTTTCACCCAAACACTATTCCATATTGGAGTTATCTTCTTGTACTGTTTTTTTCTATTGCTTCTCCTCAGACACCATAAAAGTTATCGCTTATATTTCTTACTGAACTGATCGCTAATTCCTCAGGATATTTTGTTAAAAAAATAATTACAAAAATAACGAACTCCAAGGTAAATTCAAAAAAGGTAAGTCCATAAAAACGGACAAAATTAAACTTTATCAACCAACAGAACGAATTGAAAACAACTGTCATGTTCCTGACTTGGTGGTACAGGCAATTTCGGAAAAAAAATGGTGAGTTAAACCTGGTTTTATAGCTGGTTAAACCTCCATCTTGTATGACAGTTGTTTATTGTTCCTATTTGGATCAAAACGATACGGTTACATGTAATAAAACTTATTTTCCTTCTTGTGTTGGACAGAGAAAGTTAGTCGGTGTACCTTATAACACGTCAGTCATTGAGACATGGAGTCGTTTGGTATGAGTTCTCTCATCCAAATGAATTTTACTGACCCCGTACATATCGTATTAGGTCACTAGAACACTCTGTAACTAACAGTATCTACCCATTAACATAACAAAATGAACCGAAGTTATATTTTCACGCCATCCTTGTCTATCCTTCTCTAACTGTATTTCCATCAATATCAGTCTAGGCGTTTAAGAGGGTTTACACTTGAAAGGCATTTAGAAGTTGTAAATTAAGGCATCTGGTTTTGATACGAAAATTTAAACATTTATAAATATATCTATATATATGGTGCATTGTACATAGAAAAATATGAATGTATTTATTACAAAATTAATTTATTTTTTATTTGACTTTAAACAGCTTTAGTTTGTGTATGTACATATTTTTTACAATTTGTTTTCATCAATATGCAGCAAAGATTAACATTACTTTTTAATTTCATTTTTTCAAGCTTCTAATGCACGTATCGCGATAAATTATGAAAATAAATCATCATGTATTTGCATGTTTATTTCTTATAACACAGTTTAACAAATACTTTCTTTTAAAATGTAAGTTGTTGTTTAGAAAATAACTTAAAATCGGTATTGTCACCGGCATTGTTTTACTATTGGTTTTGTCGACTTTTTCCAAATAAGAGTGACTTTTCTATTGTTCTCGTGTCATCGCTTTTGTCACTGTACACACAAAAATATATCTGTGATTATAATCAATAATAAAACATGTGTAACGTAAAGACGAGATAACAAAATTATATTTGTAAATACAACCAAGATAATAAATCGTTTTTTAGGAAATAAACCAGATATCTACCTGAAGGTGAGTAACGATTTTTTTTTTTCAAAACAGTTGTGTTTTTGTTATAGAAAAGGTACATTTCAAAAAATGAATCTTGACATATTATTTAACGCATTATTCCTTAAAACAAATAATTAAACATATTTTTTTATATATTTTGCATAAACATTCATTTGATAATAATGTGTCGATACCAGTGCTGGTGGACAGTTAGTTCCTGGGGATACTTTCAGCTCAGTAGTCAGTACGTCGGTACTTGCATTATTTATAACGCTATTTAGAAATAAACCCCCGTTAATAGATTCAGAAAATACAAGGAAACTAAGGTTCCAATTCCATCAGCCAAAGTGGAGCTTAGAATAATGTGGTTATTCTTTTTATGTTCATTTGGTCATATAGCTTCTAACGCTTATATATATTTTTATCCTGCAATCAGTTCGCTATTGTACAAATAACAGGTACACAAATAAATGTGTGATTTATTTGTACGTGTCAAGTACAAATAAAGTCTCGTGCTACCCGCTTCCTTGTTGAGCAAGCGGTAATATGAATATTTCTTTCTGGGTAACAGTTCATTGTGGGTTCCTCTTCGCGGTCCGCGTTTAAATAATGTCGATTTCTTTGAAAAATCAGAGACAATGATTGGGAATTAAACAACTTAAGCTCAAGTGCCGGGTGTTGGTTGCAGGATAAAAACAATATATGTACATTGTCGGAAATATAAAATGTATTTGTACTCGCTACGAAACAGGCGAGCCTCGCTTTTCGTCCTGTTTCTACAGCTCGTACAAATAAATTTTATATTTTCCGACGATGTACATATATTGTATATATATATTTATGGCTTTCAAATGTTTGGGCTGAGCGTTCTTGGTGAAATGTAAATGCAGAACAGCGCTTCGGATGCTCAAAAATTATAAAGTATTACTTTAAATGAGTTAAGTAAATGGTGGATGGCGTATCTGTACCCTCTTTTTTTTTAGACATATTTACATTGAAATGAAAACCAAGACTGACTTTTTCAAACCTTATCATGTTAATGTTATATTTGGAAAATGTTGAAAAATAATAATAGTTATATAAAGATAAGGAGATGTGGTATGATTGCAAAATGAGACTACTATCCATGAAAGTTCAAATGAAGTGGATTTTAGCAATTATAGGAAACCGAATGGATTTCAACAATGAGAAAAATCCATACCGGATAGCCGGCTAAAAAAAAGGCCCAGACATGAAAAATATGAAACAATTCAATGACGGTTGTTTGTGACGTCTGCATATAAAGGAATTTCATACTGCAACGATATCAAATATTTGAATATATAAACGGCATGTCATGATTTGAAGCTTAATTTCGGACATGTTTGTTTATATTGAGTATGCATTATCTATTTTGATTGCAATCAATCGAATTATATCCTTTTTAAACATGATCATTTAGCTCATAACTACATTGTAATATTGAACTATTCATGCATCCTAGAATTTCGATTGTCCGGATTTGAGAACACATTGCTTCGGACGCACAAAATTAAAAAGGTTTTTTTTCCATTTTTTGTTTAAAATACATGTAGCTAGTTGTCAGTTTATTTCCGTTCCATTATATTTGAATTTTCCCTTTTCTATTTCTATCTTCAGACCTCTTCTGAAGCTAGTTTTGTGGTTGGTATTTAATCAGAAGTCTTCGTGTAATTACTGAAAGGATATTTCTTTGGTGCTACTACGGTTGGGGTACTATAGTCATGTATAAGTCCGATACATGTAAAGTAAATATCGAGGTGCTTACAAGTGCAACACGTTCTGCATAGTATGTTATTTACAGTAAACTGTATTGATTTAGTATAAAATAGCCAGATGTGTGCTTTTTTGGAGAAATTTGTAATATTTTGTAATCTTTATAAATGTTCTTATTAGTTGTGAACTAGCTTTCAGTGACTGTGTCTATTATAAGATCGGATCTTTGTGTCTTTTGTATTAGGTGTTGTTTTTTTTTTTTTGTGATTCGTGCCAGACTTATGAGTCAAGTTGTTTCCAAATGATTTTTACAGTTTGTTCTTTATGTTTTGCTGTTACACGACTGTCCAAGGTTATGCGAGTATTAAACCTGTATCACATTCAGAGGTTGTAGTTGGTAGAATTGTTATCTGTCATATTGCATTCGTTTGTATTTTTCTTTTTATAAATCAGATTGTTGGTTTCCTATTTTGAATTGTTTAGCACGTCGAGGCTGTTTCATCTGCATTTTTGTGGATTGATTTTGCTCATTGTTGAAGCCCGTAGGGTGAACTATAATTGTTTATTTTCTTACAAACTACATTTACTGCCATTCGTTTGTCGATTTGTTTATAAATCAGATTGTTGGCTTCCTCTTTTAGACTGTTTATTATTTTGTCATGTCGAGGAGGCCTTTTCAGCTGCATCTTTGTGAATTTATTTTGCTCAATGTTGAAGCCCATAGGATGAACTATAATTGTTTATGTTGACGTCATTTGGTCTCTGGGGGAAAGTATGCCATTGGCAATGCTGCTTCATCCCCTTATTTCCTTACTAACAACATTTATTGCTGATATTAAAACATTTCGCTATTTATTATTTGTTCCTGTGCCTTTATAACAAGAACTATTCAAAAATACCAGCATTATAATTCTGAACGTCAGATGCGCGTTTCGTCTACAAAAGGCTGATCGAATCAAAAAAGTTGCAAGACCACATCAAACACGAGATTAAAGAGCAATGCAAACCACAAATAAATGTGCCAAATACGGTAAAGTCCATACATCTCTGGAGTGTTTCGATTATTTCATCATTTTATAAATAAAAAATTTACAGAACATGAGCATATGGATGATGTTTCCTGTCAACATAGAAAGGCTGACTACTTGGCTGGTGATTCCATCTGGGACGAAACATTCACAAGCAGTAGTTGTAAAACTCATCAAAGATACCAGGCTTATAATATATTTATAATGAACCTAAATATTTGCATCTGTTATTATGTTTTTTTCTTATCTATTTTTTTATTCATTTACTTTCTATTAAAATCGAACCAATAATACTTTTAACAGTAAAAAAACTAATTGTAAAAGACTATATTAGGATAACCCTAACATATAATGCAGTTATATATGTGACTTTCAAAGAATACAAAAATGATTCTTCAAAAAATTACAGTTTACCAATTCAGGCGCGAAATCAAATCAAATATATCCGTTTGGAGATATGCATATTTAGGTGAACTTAATTAAGAAAGTTCAGCATTTGCAGTTTATAAAGACAAACGGAGCAGATTCCTTTATTCAACAAAAAAAATGCTTCAAACAAAAAACTTTAAGACGAACTATGCTGAGGAAAAAAATTAAAATATTGATCTCCAAAGCTTTTTATAGCTCATAGTTTTTGAAAGAAAAAAGATGCCAATATTAAATTTTTAAGTTCCATTATTTATATACTATCAATTTATAACAGTCTTTTAAAAAGCTTGTTATTTTGAAAAACAGTAGCGAACATCTTTACATTGATGGACGAAATGTACTTTTTGACATGACTAAAATGTTTCGTACAAATCATATTAATCTCTTACTGAATAAAATGCTTGACAACTATATACTGTTAAAGATACATGTCAGGATATTTTAATTTGATTCACTACCATGAGTCAATAGCATTGTTTATTCTTTTTAAACCTAGTACAAAAATAGTATAAAATTAAAAAGAGGGGCTCGTGTAGTAGTATACATTTTACCGTTGGTGTTTTTTTTTTAAATTTACCTGTGATAATATAAACGTCACAAACATACGTCACTTTTTGTGGGGTTGATGCATTCGTGTGACGCGCAGTTCATACTTCGTTTGTGGTGTACTGTCGTAAATTCATGGGAGGTGTCCGTTGTTATTCTGTGGTTTACATGTTGTAATGTACTATTTAATTATTCATTTATGTATTTCTCTGTTCTGAGTGTTCTTGTGTTTATTTGTACTGTATCCCTGTCCCGTAATGTTGTCATTTTAGCGGTATTTTTAACATTACCATATAAGCGAGAGGTTTGATTAGCCATAAAACCAGGTTCAACTCACCATTTTTTCTTAAAATGTCCTGTACCAAGTCAGAAATATGGCAGTTGTTATCAAATAGTCCGTTTCTATGTATATTGGCGTTTGTTTTTGTTGCAGTTTAGTGTTTCTGTTTTTTCTCTTGTAGTTGATGTGTTTCCCTCGGTTTTAGTTTGTAACCCGGATTTGTTTTCGTTTAATCGATTTATGACTATAGAACAGCGGTATACAACTGTTGCCTTTATTTGTACTGTTTCGCATTTTATCATCCAGGGGTCTTTTATAGCTTACTTTACGATTTGTATATTTTAGTCATTGTGAAAGTCCATATGGTGACTTGTATTTGTTCACATCATTGTTTTTAGATCTCATAGGCAATTATATCACGTCTCCTTATTATCATTAATCGTTAGAAATTAATCACACAGTGGTATTTTAAAATATGTTATTTGCATTTCATTAAAAAATAATCTCAAGTATTAATTTCAGACCATTATTCATTTTTGTTATATGTTATATTTATACATGAAAGACAAGCCACGAAATGAATTGGTCAACTCGACTCACTGTATGGATGATTGTTTCTTGTATCACCATGACGCATGTCCATAGTTATTTCCAAATTCGTAAGTTACATTGTTATTTTTTCTGTTTTATATTCTTAAACTTCTTGTTTGTAAAAGTATGATATGCCTCAAGAGACTTGACTATAACTATAACCTCTTCAATGAAAAGTTTAGACTCATAATGCAACGTTAGAAACATGAGTTTATAGACATGTTTTATCTACAGTTCACCGCAAAAGAATTGACTTTACATTTAAACAATGGACTATTCATCGCACGGCGTTTACTTATCTAAGTTGAAACTTTACGCTCGTGCATTTTCAAAATTTGCACTCAATAGGTTTTTAATTTGCACTCAATAGGTTTTTACGGTCACCATAACAATTTGGTTCATACGATATGTCTGTGTCTCAATTCACTAGCGACATATTTTTGCAGTATTAGAATTTAAATAACGGTCGTCTTATATGTAAATGTAACGATTGTGTTCTTTTCCTGATTAGGATATTTAGATTAAGAGTGTATTCGCATGACGGGTGATGTATGCATAGCCGGAGAGGCTTACGGAATAATCATACTATTCACGCATAACAGCTGTCCTATATAACTATAGGAATTATAATTTTAATGCTGATATTACTAATGTTCTTTTTGATTGGAATACAGGGTAATTTTTTATTCTCACAAAGTTGACAAATACGATAATGTTTTGATTCAACAAATAAGGTAAGTTTTCGTTTGCACAAAGTTGACAAATATGATATCTTTTGTTTTTGCAAAGTTGACAAGTATGATGATTTTTTTGTTTCCACAAAATTTACAAAGATAATAATTTTAATTGACACAGATGAACAACTTCAAACTGGAATCAATGACAAACGTGATGATTTCAATTGTTTAATCATCAACTTGCCATTTCTCAGTAGTACCATACAAGCTGGCCCATCGTGCAGTGTTCACATATCTCAATTGATACGTTATGCTCATGTACTTTCACACTATACGGACTTCTTTGTAAAGGGTGTGCTCCTTACACAAAAATTACTCTAACGGAGTTATGAGGAAGAATGACTCAAATCGTCATTTTATACGTTTAACTGTCACAATTACAAAATGGTAGACCGATGCGATGTGTCTGTGCCACAACTCACTAGCGACATGTTTTCGCAGTCTCAGATATCTTAAAAATACCAGAAAAGTTGTCTAATCTGTAATTTTACCGATTGTGTCCTTTTTCCGATTGTGAAATTATTAATAAATCTTGTATGTATTCGCATGGCGGGTAAAACAAGCGTGGCAGAAGATGCTTACCCTGTCGACGCACCAGGTTTCGGTTATCTTGGTGTTCATGCGATTCCCCAATTTGTGTGTGTTGTCATGATTTTTCTTCTTAACCGATTTATGAGGTTTAAACACAGGTAAACTATTATTGCCTTAATACATTTAAAGGAACTATTAAAAGTTTCCAGCATGCAGCAATACCAAGTAAGAAATATTTAGAAACCTCTGTGACTTTTACTATGAATATTTAGCTTGAAGGATGAAAACCTTATAGAGCTCTAAAACCTATTATTAAATTTATTCTATTCTATTTACAGCGCCGTACAATTTTACGGGAATATTAGACAAGAAGGTTGCCTCTACATTTTTATGTCGACATGGCTGCCGATATGCACAACATGACATGGGTGAAGAAGAAGAACGAGACAGAGAATTTAAAGAAAGGAAAAGAGAAGTCCCCGAATTTATAGTATAGAGTAAATTTACTAGTCTGTAATACAGTTCCTTTCTCTAAAACTAATTGTTTTTGTCTCATATAAAGCATGTAGAAAAACTTATTAGTTGGAATTCTAATATTTTACTATATATTTATTACGAATCTCATATTTTTTTATTTTCTTTCATTTTGCAAGGTGATTAATGCGTAATAAAATTCCGTGTAAACACAGAATCTTGTTGTTGCTAGATTCTACTGTCAATTAAGCGGTACATCCTTGTCATCTTTAAAGATTTAGAAAATTTACGAAGGACATAATGACATACACAATATGGTGTACTATTGGGTGAAGTTGAAATGAAGCCGATTCCAAAGAACTTGCTGTTGATTAATTCAAAGTTCAACTGTGAAAGTGTTAACATGTAAAAAAACGACACGACACCTAGGCAGTAATCTAAATATCATCAAAAGGAAATAACATTTAAAAGTGATTACCAACATAACATAGAAAACATGAAATGTAGCATCAGTTAACTAACAGACTCATTAATAACTCCGTTAAGTTTCCTACCAATAAACCAAATACCATAATGGACACAACTATATTCTTCAAATATAAGCAAATACTCATACTGTTTGTATTTGATTTACCTTCATCAGGAACGCTCAATGCCAAATAATTGAAAGCCAAGGATGTATAAGAACCGAAACAGTTGAAGAGCTTTACGAACAAAAAGGACCTAAATATAGCCGAATCCATCTAAGGTCAACTTTGCCTGAGGGAGTTGAAACCTTAGTTTCTAAAAAAAATTCAAAATTTATAAAGGGAAACTTTTAGAAAGGTTTGTTATATATCATGTCAGTACGGGACTACTGACTACTGAGCTGATGATAACCTCGGGGACTGATAGTCCACCAGCAGAGGTATCGACCCAGTGCTGTAAAAAAATGAAAACAACACGGTATAGACTTCGACAGACTACTGATTTACCGACTCCTTGGGACAGGCAAGTGATGGTATGGAGAGGTTTAACATGTTTGTGAGTGTTTAACCCTCCCCTTACCTTATACAGTGATGTAACAGCAGAACAAAATGTAAAAAATGTTGAAATTGGCTTAACAAGAGACAGAACGCACCGATAAAAGAGTAATCGCAGTTACTGAACTTTAGTACCGATAAAAAACAATATTTAATTTTTTTACTACTGTGCTAAATTGATAACCTTTAAGAATGGGTTTACATGGATCGTATCTACATTAAAGTGATAAATACATATCCTTTCTTTCAAGATCAGGGTGTGATATCCCGTTTTCATTAAGAATTCTACAGGTACAGCCAAACTTCCTGACGAAATCTTTAAATATATATTTAAAGAATTTTGTGAAGGTTCTAGCTGATAAGTAGTGAATGAGTAATGGTGTATCAGTCGAGCGCGTAAACGGGTACATACGCGCTAATAGAGTAGTTTCGCCTCTACCAACCAAGAACTAACACCAAAGACAAGATTTTAAAGCATTAAAAAGGTGCAAAATAGAAAAATCGGAAAGGGAACAAATAAGGAGCGATTAAGAAACAGAGTATCAGTCGACCGCAAAAACAGGTAAACACGCGCTAATAGGTTAATTTAACCCCTACGAATCAAGAACTAACACCAGAAACAAGAAAAGAAAAGAACAGAAATCATTCAAAAGGTCAACATATGAAAAGCAATTAAGGAACTAATAAGTAGAGAATAAGTAACAGGGTATCAGTTGAGGGCAGACACGAGAACATATGCACTAACAGGGTTAATTTCACTCCACTAAACTAGAACTAACATAAGAGACAAGAAAAGAAAGAAAAGAAAGCATTAAAAAGGTGCAACGTATAAAAAGTGAAAAGGGAACGAATATATAACAGGGTATCAACCGAACGCAGAAGCGGGTACATACGCGCTAATAGGTTAATTTCCCCCATTACGAACCAAGAACCAGAGACAAGATCATAAAAGAGAGTGATGTATTAAAAAGGTTAAACGTATAAAAATCGAATAAGGAACAAATAGATAGCGAATAAGTAACAAGGTACCAATCGAGCGCGAAATCGGGTAAATACGCGCTAATAGGGTAATTTTAGCTCTACCAACAGAACATACACATGATACAAGAAAAGAAAAGAAAAGACAGCATTTTCCTCATTGTTGAAAGGCCGTACGGTTGCCTTTATTGCTTACATCCACTTCATTTAAACTTTGGTGGATAGTTGTCTCATTGGCAATCATACCTTATCTCTTTATCTTTATATTTAATAGATACAACGTATAAAAATCGCCTGAGGAAAAAATAAGGATCGAATAAGTAACAAGGTATCAGTCCAGCGCGGAAACGGTAACATACCCGATAAAAATTGCAATTTCACCTCTATGAACCAAGAACTAACACCAGAGACAAGAAAAGAACAGAAAAGAAATTTTCCAAAGGTTCTTTTTTTTTCTATTCTTCTTCATGTGCACACCTATAACGTTGCCGTAAAAGAGAAAAAACAAGAATGTGTCCATAGTACATGGCTTCGATGAATTCTTTGGAAATTTACACATGTCCTGGGCCGTAATATTTTATTTTATCCTTAGCGTTGGCGAGGGATAAAATTAACGAATATCACAGCCCAGGCCATGTGTAAATTTACAACAAATCTATGGCTTCCATGAATTATTTCGATTCTAATAGGACACATACGGTCATTTAAAAAAACTGAAGCGAGGGTGGGTATGCCGTGTGTGTGGTTGTTCTATTTAACCCCTGTTACATCAAGCTAATAATTTTAAAAAATCTATAGCTTGCATGAATTATTTCTTAAATAACCGCTAGAAAAAAATGTGTTTAATTCTTTAAATTCTCAACCCCAACATTTGCCATTTTTCTTTTTCTCGTAAGCTACCGTCAAATCGAAAGTTGGCATTTCGTTACTAAGGAAGCGCCATGTTGACTTGCTGAAATCAGTAAATGTGCGAATGGTGCAATAGAATAGAAAATAAAACAACACCTACCTCAAAACTCCATTTTAATGCAATATTATCTGAATTTGGAGAGTTCAAACAACGGAAAAATCTTCCGCTTTGGCATTTCATTCGTATGACCTCATGTTTTGAAATGACCTCAATGCGCCAAAAGCATTAATGGAACTTCGCGGAAATTTATTTTATTAAATTGTACGTTTTTCCGAGCTCTAATGCATTAATTTTAAAAAAGAAAAAAAAACAAAAATTGTGTCACTTCTCCTTTAACATAACAAAATAAATCGAAGTTATATGTTTACGCCATCCTAGTGTATCGTTCTCTAACTGATATGTTTGTGTGAGTGACTTGGTCGAGTTTAAAGAATTATAAGGATTAAACGCCTTTTTAAAGGAATTTATTGGTGTATAAAATAAATTTCTTCAAAAAGACATGTAATTCTTATAATTCTTTAAAATTAGAGATAATTAATTTAATTTCCCCTACCGTAACCTCTGTCATGCGTAAATTGTATGTTTGTGTCATTGCATTGGCCTGGTGCATGAATAGTTTTTTGTTTAAATAAAAAAAAATGTATTCCATGAAATTTGCTTTCTGATAAAAAATAAACTACAAAAATATCTTATTATCATCCAAATGAATGTTTTGTGTTTGTTATGAAATTTAACGACGAACGCAAAGTGAAAATATATATTTTTAACGTCGAGCTGGTTTGTGTTATCATCGCCTCCACCTTGTTTACATTGGTTACAAAAAGTAGTTCCGTCAACGTTGTCTTTCGAAAATACATAACTTCAAGAGCAACTACAGGAAGACCTCTCGACCAATCATATAATCGTATTCCATAATATGCAAATTATATAAGAATTGTTTTACTATTGATTTTGTCGACTAATAAGAGTGACTTTTCTATTGTTCTCGTGCCATCGCTTTTGTCACTGTACACAAACAAAGTATATTTGTGAATATAATTAATAATAAAAAATGTTTAACGGAAAGACGAGATAACAAAATTATATTTGTAGATATAACCAAGATAATAAATCGTTTTTTATTAAATGAACCAGATAACTACCCGGAGGTGAGTAAGATTTTTTTTTCTTAAAACAGTTGTGTATTTAAAATAGAAAAGGTACATTTTAAAGATGAATCTTGACATACTATTTAACGCATTATTCATTAAAACAAATAATTAAGCATAATGTTTAATATATTTTGAATAAACATTCATTTGATAATAATGAGTCGATACCACTGCTGATGGACAGTTAATCCCCAGTACTATCAGTTCAGTAGTCAGTACGTCGATACTAACATGATTTATTACGCCATTTGAAAGAAAATCTCGTTGATAGATTCAGAAAAAACAAAGAAACTAAGGTTCCAACTCTGTCAGCCAAAGTTGGGCTTATAATAATGTAGTATTTCTTTTTATGTTCATTTGGCCATATAGCTTCTAACGTGTATATATATTTATATATTCATATGGTTTTCAAATGTTTGGGCTGAGCGTTTTTGATGAAGTGTAAATGCAGAACAGCGTCTTGGACGCTCAAAATTTATAAAGTATTATATTTTTATTAAAGTCAAAGCAAACGATGGCGTACCTGTACCCTCTTTTTTAGACATATTTTCATTGAAATGAAAATCAAGACAGATTTTTTCAAACTTAATGTAATATATGGAAAATGTTGAAAAAAAAATAATAGATATAATTAAAAACCAATTGTTCAGAGAACAATTGAAGGTCTTTCCACCCATAAAGATCAATTTTGATATAGAACTATGAAAATTCATTTTGAAATATCATATCCAGCGTCTATGATAGCTTATTGTACACTGATTCCAAAAATATATGGTTTCTATACATTTTTTCTAAATAAGGGAGATAAATTGTTACTTCCGGTTTGAAATATGTCACACTTCAGGTTTTATTTGATAGTTTACTTGATACTGATTCCAAAAATATATTGTTCAATATACTTTTACATTAAATAAGTAAACAAAATAGCTACTTCCGGTTTACACAAGGTCACTTCCGGTTGGCTTTTCCATGGTCAAGTGTCTTGCATCGTAATACAAAAAGTCCCATGGCTTTATGAATACATATGAAGTAAAAGCAAAGGTCAAAATCAAGAACGTCAATTTTACCTATGACCTTGAGTTCAATTTCAAGGTCATAAACCAAGGGCTTCAAATCAAAAGACCATAGGTCTTAATTATATATGGTTAATGAGCTATATCACTATATGTATAATTTTTAATATAAGAGGGGAGAAAACTCCAATTTAATGTTAGCGTACCCTTTCAACCAAAATTTATGTGTTACGACTTGCCGCAACTTACAATTTAGTAAAAATATGTTGTCGATATCTTATAAGGTTTTTGAAAAGAATTGAAAATAAGCGAAAATCAAAATTTAAAATATGACCTTGACCTCTGACCTTGACCTAATTTTCTTTTTTTTTGGATCAAGAACCTTAAATCAAAAGATCCTAGGTCTCTATCACTTATGGTTTACAAGATAGAAATGCATATCACTTATATCACATGCATAAGGGGAAATAACTCTCATATGGAGTGTTCATATCGCTTCGGTCAAAATAGGACAAATCATGCGAAGGATATAATGACCAATTTTATAAAATAAATTTGTCGCTTTCTTTTGCGGTTACGGAGGAGATGCAGTCACAAGGAAAACAGTGTTTGGGGAGATAACTATTACAAAGAAAATTGTTCGGCTTACAATGGGTGAAAATAAAAAGCGCATAAACTGTATGATACTATATAAGAAATATCTTAGCGACATATTGCGAAACAAAAATTTTACGCGAGAACAAAATTTGGCGGAAGAAAATAATAATAATCAGAACAAATACAATAGGTCTTTCCACAGAAAAGTGGAAAGACCTAATTAAAGAGAAAAGGACATGGTATGATTGCCGATGAGACACATATCCACCAAAGTTCAAATGAAGTGGATGTAAGCAATTATAGGAAACCGTATGGACTAATATGAAGCAATTCAACGACGGTTATTTGTGACGTCTACATATAAGAAAAGGCATTTTATACTGCAACGATATTGAATATCTTAATATACAAACGGCATGTCATGCGTTTAAGATGAATTTCAGATATTTTTTTTATATTGAGTATGAATTATCTATTTTGATTGCAATCAATTGAAATATATCCCTTTTGTTCATAATAGCTTTGATGATATAGCTCATAAATAATATTGAACTATTCGGTTCTTATACATCTCGACATTGTGTTATTTAAGGAATGACTGTAATATTGTTTCTGTCTATGAAGAAATAACATAAAAAATGTGGTGCACACTAAATAACCCGCGTAGCGTGTTATTTTAAAGTTTGCACCACATTTTTTATGTTATTTCGAATAGACAGAAAAAATATTACAGTCATTTCTTATAATTTAATTCTAAATTTCATTTTAAACCGGAGTAAACCATAAAACAACGTTGATGACGTCACGGTCACATGACAAAATTATGTCTATGAGCTGATAAACAAAACAACGTCAGCCAATCAGAAGACGCGTTACATCCAAAATTAAATTATTGTGCTATGGTCATTTTTTGTATTCTTGTCTTTCAATTTTGCTTATGTGCTTTGTCTATATGCCATTTCGTTTTTCTTTATTGACGTATTTGTTTGCTTTTATAGTAATTGAGATTATAACACAATGTTGACTGCTGTACCCCTATTTTTCGACATTTTTACGTATTATGTCTGGTTGTTCTGTTCACTCATTGTTTTCAATATAATGGAATTTTATGCGACTGTCATACAAGTGAGAGGTTTACCTAGTTATAAAACCAGGTTTAATCCACTATTTTGTACATAAGGAAATGACTGTGCCAAGTCAGGAAATGACAGTTGTTTTCCATTCGTTTGATGTGTTTGAGCTTTTGATTTTGCCATTTGATAAGGGACTTTCCGTTTTGAATTTTCCTTGGAGTTCAGTATTTTTGTTATTTTACTTTTTTCATGCATCTTAGAAATTCGAATGTCCGGATTTGAGCACGCATTCCTTCGGTCGCAAAAAATTTAAACGGGGTTTTTCTATTCTTTGTTTAAAGTATTGAGTATTTTTTACATGTAGCTAGTTGTCAATTTATTTCTATTCGGTTATATTTGAATTTTTCTTTTTCTATTTCTGTTTCTACTTTCAGACTTCTTCTGCAACTAATTTGTTTAGTATTTAATTCGAAGTCTTTGTGCTATTACTGCAAAGATATTTCTTTGGTGCTACTACGGTTTGGGTTCTATAGTCATATATAAGTCTGATACTTGTATAGTATATATCGAGGTGATCACAAGTGAAACACGTTCTGTATAGTATATTATTTACAGTATATTGTATTTGATTAAGTGTATAATAACCAGATGTGTGTTTGTTTGGAAAAAAATATAATATTTTGTTATCTTTATAAATGTTGTTATTAGTTGTGAATTAGCTTTCAGTGACTGTGTCTATTCTAAGATCGGAATTTTGTGTCTTGTGTATGATGTGTTTTCTGTGCTTCGTGGCAAACTTATGAGTTAAGTCGTTTCCAAATGATTTTTTATAGTTTGTTTTTTATGTTTTTTGCTTTTACACGACTGTCGTAGGTTATGTGAGTATTAAGCACTCACAAATATGTTTATACCTGCAATATACTGTATAAAGAGATATAAGAAGATGTGGTTTGAGTGCCAATGAGACAACTCTCCATCCAAGTCACAATTTGTAAAAGTAAACCATTATAGGTCAAAGTACGGTCTTCAACACGGAGCCTTGGCTCACACCGAACATGTACATGTATAAACCTGTATTAAGTTTGGAGCATATAAATTAGAGGTTTTCATTGGTTGTTATCTGTCATATTGTATTCGTTTATCTTTTTTTCTTATAAATCAGATTTTTGGCTTCTTTTTTTTAATTGTTTAGCATTTTGTCATGTCGAGGCCTTTTCAGTTACATTATTGTGAATTTATTTTGCTCATTGTTGAAGCCCGTAGAGTAAACGGTTGTTACGCAAAAGCAAATGTTTCGACTATTTCATCATTTTGTAAACAATAAATTTATAGAAAATGAACATATGGATGATGTTTCACAGAAAAGACTGACTACTTGGCTGGTGGTTCCCTCTGGGACGAAACATTCATCAGAAGTGGTTGTAAAAACTCATTAAAGATACCATGCTTATAATATATGTATTAGAAACTTAAATGTTTGCATCTATTATTTTTTTTATATATATATTTATGTATTTCTTATTAAAATCGAACCGATAATATTTATGAAAGAAAAAAAATAATTATAAAAGACTCTATCAGGATACACATAATATATATTCCTAACATTTAATGCAGTTATGGATTAATTGATCAAATTTTTTTCTCAATTGAATTCTACTAAACTATCATCCATGTTCTAAAGTCCAGTCGCCTCTGTTGGATAGTTATCCGATTGGCAATCAAACCACATCTTCCTATCTTAAAATTAAATTCTACAAAATAGATGGATTTGACAGCCAAAGAAATTGAAAAGAATAATAAAAATATGGTATCATGATATTTCGAAATCGGAGATTATCGGACCATTGACTGTGTGGATAGTTTCTGAGTTTAACTATCAGGATAAGTACGTAGTAATAACTCGTGCTATTTTTCTTAGTTGATATAACATATAAATAATGAGTTATGAAACATTATTTTACGTCCAATATACATGATATACCACTACCACTCAGTGAATATGTTTCCCTTTTGTATCTTTATATTGTGTCGACTAATAATTATTGTCGAACGTTCTTTTGATGACAGCAACACTTCCATTGGGACGAGGTGTTACTTTTTGTAGATTTCATTCTTTTGAGTGAAATATACAATAAGTAACACCATCGTCCCAATGGAAGAGGTACTGTCATTAAAAGAACGTTCCATGATAATTGAAGTGCTGAAATGTAGAACTTTGTCAATTGTTTCTTTTCTTTTCTTTTTTTTTTTTTGGGGGGGGGGGACTTTCAAAGAATACCAAAATGATTCCTCAAAACCTTACAGTTTACCAATTCAGGCATCTGGAGGTGTGGTGGTAAATAAAATTAAATTCATTTGTTTGGAGATATGCATGTTTGGTGAACCTAATTGAGAAAACTCAGCATTTGCAGTTTATTAAGTCAAACGGACATGTTTACAAGAGGAGCATATTCCCTTATTCAAAAAAGAGCTTCAAACAAAAATCTGTAAGACGAACTATGCTGAGGAAAAAAACACAAAAACACTGAACTCCAAGGCAAAATAAAAAAAGGGAAGTCCGTAAAAACACTCTCAATCAACAAAACAAGTGAAAAACAACTGCCATATTCCTGACTGTGTATCGGTATTTTCCGAAGAAAATAGTGGGTTACAACTGGTTTTATAGCTAGCTAAACCTCTCAATTGAAATTACCAAACGTAGTTATTTAAGTTTTTAATTTTTAAAACTATGCGTAGTAATTTATGGCCATAATATGTACCTATATATGTCCATTGTCACTAGAGACGAAGATTCGACGCGTTTCATCAACAGACACCAGTTTAAATTTAAACAATTGAATTCTAATCCACATTGTGACAATTTACTGGGCCCGGATACGTATAACACATTATGCGTATGAATCAGGAGACGCTTAATTTTTCGTGTGTTATATGTATGTCAGTACAATAATGCATCCCCCAAAAACTCATGTAACCATAACACATCCATGAAGAGGACAACATAAAGGGATCAATACACGACTGATTTCTAAACAATATGTCAGTTTCCAATTGGTGCCGAGTCTGGAAAAATATGAGCTAATTATGGTGGCTGGGGTGTCTTCCTCCATCTTGGATTTTGAAGTAGCAGATAACAATTGGTTTAGATCTTTAATGATATGTGCTAATTTTGAGAGTAGTATGTAATTCATGTGTAAGACTTTTCATGTTAATATAGAAAATTATGTGTTTTATCATATTTCAGCTGGTTTTTTTCTAAAAAAACACATTATTTTTGTATAATTCATTTTTTTCAACTTTCCCACATAAGGGGAGATAACTCAGATAGTAGGGGAGATAATTCAGATGAAGTAATTTTTATAATAGAAAGTGTTATGAATTTCCCTTTATTAATATGTAGCATGAAAACAAGTCCAGTGACCCCAATCTTTTTTTTTTCTTATCTGAAAGCATGTTATAATCGCTATCTTTTCACATTTTATCTTAAAATTCTATGGTGTAGTTTTCTTTTTATCACACAAAATTGGATTTTCCATGCATAATCTATACAAAATCTGACAATTTTGCACACAAACTGTAGTATGAAAAAAAGTCCGGTCACCCATACTTTTTATTAAATTTTGGAAAAAAGCATGATAAAAACTACATTTTGACGAATTATTAAAGAAATCTATGAATTTTTATTAAGATCCCCTTCCACCTAAATAAGAAAATATCAGAGATCTGCCATCATGACAACTATTAACTGTTGCATGTTACTAAGTCGACCATCTAAAAGTATTTGAAGATGCAACAGGATTTATTCTTACGACAAACTTTCATGAAAAACATAATTTTCATTGTAATTTTGATGGATGAATATATATTTTTGGACATGACCAAAACGTTTCGAACAAATTATATTAATCTTTTACTGAATAAAACACTTGACAACTATATACTGTTAAAGATACATGTCTGGATATTTTGATTTAATTCCCTACCATGAGTCAATAGCATCCATTTGTTTATTCTATTTAAACCTAGTACAAAAATAGTATAAAATTAAAAAGAGGGGCTCGTGTAGTAGTATACATTTTACCGTTGGTGTTCTTTTGTACTGTTTTGCATTTTGTCATCCAGGGGCCTTTTATAGCTTACTTTACGATTTATATATTTTACTCATTGTGAAAGTCCATATGGTGACTTGTTTTTTTTTCACATCATTGTCCTTAGATCTCATAGGCAATTATATCACGTCTCCTTATTTTCATTTATCGTTAGAAATTAATGAAACAGTGGTATTTTAAAATATATTTTTTGCATTTGATGAAAAAATAATCTCAAGTATTAATTTCCAACAGACCATTATTCATTTTTGTTATATGTTATATTATACATGAAAGACAAGCCACGAAATGAATTGGTCAACTCTACTCACTGTATGGATGATTGTTTCTTGTATCACCACGACGCATGTCCATAGTTATTTCCAAATTGGTAAGTTACATTTTTTTTTCTGTTTTATATTCTTAAACTGTTTATAACAACAACAGCAACAACAACAACAACAATACTCTATTTACAACAACAACAACAATACTTTATTTAAAGAGGGTTCCACAGTTAGCTATATAACTAATCTTCCCTGAGGCCCTCATCATAGAAAAAAAGCAGAAACAAAAAAAACAAACATTTACATGGCATACATTAGTATAAAAGCCAAGTATAATGATAATGTTCAGTACAACTGCATAAAATGTAATGAACAAATTAACATGATGAAATAATTAATATTCAATTTTTTTTTCAACTGATTGATTTCAATAAATGATCTGTTATTTTTTATTTGAAAGAACTAACATTTGTAATATTTCGTAACGATATTGGAAAATTCTTCCACAAGAATGGTCTTGCTAGTAAGATATGATGGGGCACCATTTGTTTTTTTGCACTTAAATGTCATCACAAACTTGTGATATTTTATTCTCTGTTCAACTGTCATCCTGTTTAAGTGTTTGAATAAGGGCTCAGAAGGAGCAAAAGGGTCTGTTTCTAGTATTATTCTAGCAGCTCTCTTTTGTTATTTTGATATCCAATTTAAACCCTTACTGCTACAACTACTCCACACTATATAACAATAATCAATTAGTGGTAAGATATAACCATTACAAAATAATTTTCTGCTGTCCAGATTTAGAAATTTCTTAATCTTAAATAGAAGATATAGCCTAGATGAAATTTTTGAGCAGATCAACTCAATTTGGTTTGTCTATGTGAGGGAAGGGTCAATTTTAATGCCTAAGAGACTTTCGCATGTGGAAGATTGTATCACTTGCTTGTTAATAGTTAAACAACTTTCACTGTAATGTGGCATTGCATTTCGCTTTGTTCCAATAATCATAAATTTTGTTTTATTTTTATTGATGAACATATATTGTTATTATTACCCCATTCCTAAACACCATGCAAATCTTCTTGTACCTTTGACTGCAGAGTTTGATAACAACTACCAGAAAGATGAAAAGTTGAATCATCAGCATATAAATCAGTGCAACAATTTTTCATATTGATTGAAAGGTCATTTATGTATAAAATAAACAGATAGCCCCTAATATGGAGCATTGGGGGACACCATACTTAATATAAGGTTTTTTCAGAATGAGCATTACCAATTTATACTTGTTGAGTTCTTTCATTCAAATACGATTTGAAAAAAGAAACAGCAGCATTACCAAATCCATAAATTTCAAGTTTTTTTGCAGAGAATTTCATGATCTACTACATCAAAGGCTTTCTTAAAATCCAATAGGACTGCTAAGTTGATATTACCATCATTCATATCCTGTACCCATTTATCTGTGCTATTGATAAGGACAGTTTGGCAAGAGTGTTCTTGTCTAAACCCAGACTGTGCTGGATGTAAAAGATTAAGTCTTTTTAGATAGTCATACAATTGTTTTGAAACATGCTTTTCTAAAAGTTTTGATAAAACAGAAAGTACAGAAATTGGTCTATAATTTGTTGCCATGAATTTTCCCCAGCTTTAAAAACAGAGATTACTCTTGCATTCTTTAGAACAGTGGGCAATGAACTTGTATCTATTATTCTGTTAAAAATGTAAGTTAAAGATGAAGTTATGAAAGGAGCACATAATTTTAAAATTTTTGGTCCTATGTTATCAGATCCGGTGGATTTATTAATGTCAAATTTGATAATCTCATTAAATAAAATTAAAGTTAATAAAAGTATGATATGCCTCAAGAGACTTCTCTAACTATAACCTCTTCAATGGAAAGTTTATACTCCTAATGCAACGTTAGAAACATGTGTATATAGTCATATTTTATCTACAGATCACCGTAAAAGCATTGACTTTACATTCAAACAATGGACTGTTCATCACACGGCGTTTACATATCTAAGTTGATACTTTATGCTCGTGCAATCTCACAATTTGCACTCAAATCGGTTTTTACGGTCACCATCACAAATTGGTTAATACGATATGTCTCTGTCTCAACTCACTAGTAACATATGATTTACCGTCTTAGAACTTTAAACAATCGTCTTATGTGAAAATTAACCGACTTCGTTCTAATCCTGATTAGGATATTTAGACTAAAAGTATATTCGCATAGCGGGTGATGTATGCATAGCAGGAGAGGCTTACGGAATAAACACAATTATCACGGATAACTGCTGTCCAAAATTACTGTAGGAATAATACTGTTACTGCTTTTTTCACTAATATTCCCTTTGATTGGAATACAGGGTAATTATGTGTTCCCACAAAGTTGACATATATGATAATATTTCTTTTGTACAAAACTGACAAATACGATATCTTTTTTTTTTTTGCAATGTCAGCAAATATGATATTTTTTTTTCAACAAAGTTGGCAAGTATGATGATTTGTTGTTTTCCACAAAGTTGACAAAGATAAACAATTTTAATTGACATAGATGTACGATTTCAAACTTGAATCAATGACAAACGTGATGATTTCAACTTTTTAATCATCAACTTCCAATTCCTCAATTGTAACATACGAGCAGCTCCATAGCACAGCGTTAACATATCTCAATTGATACGTTATGCTCGTATACATTCACACTATACAGACTTCATTACCAGGGTTGTGCTCCTTGCACACAAACTGCTCCAACAGAGTTATGAGGAGAAATGACTGAAATCGACACTTCATAAATATTACGTTCATAATTACCAATTAGTTGCCGATGCGATCTGTCTGTGCCTCAACCCACCAGCGACATGTTTTCGCAGTCTACGATATTTTGATACAAGAAAAATTCGTCTAATCTGTAGTTTTACCGATTGTGTCCTTTTTCTGATTGTGACATTTTGGATAAATATTAATTTAATTCGCATTGTGAATAGGCGTAGCAGAAGATGCTTACCCTATCAAAGCACATGGTCTCGCTTATCTTGGAGTTCATGCGATTCCCCATTTTGTGTGTGTTGCCTTGATTTATCTGCTTAAGCGAGTTTAAAACACAGATAAACTATCATTGAATTTTTTAAAAATTAGAAGATGTGGTATGAATGCCAATGAAACAACCCTCCACCAAAGACCAGAGACAGGCACATACAGAATAAGCCGTGGTTAAACATTTTGATTGCTCCCAACCATCCCCAACCTGGGACTGTGGTGTAACAACACAACATACTATAAAAATCAGTTGAAAAGGGCTTAACTCATCAGATCAATCCAAAGCAGAAAAACAAGTTACAAAAACACAGACCAGACGTGGCAGGGTAACCACAACACAAAAAGACATTAAGTACAGATCTGACAGTACTAGCAGTTACAGCTAGTTAAAAGCCAATAACAACTAAAAAAAATCATTTGTAAATATCAACCCAATGGATTTTGTGTAAAGGCGTCATTAACAGTCAGAAAAACATGAACTTGTGCAATGCCACGATACATGTATCGACAAATTGTAGAACTGTGAATGTGCATTTGTATAATATGTGTATAACAATAATATTAGTTTGGTTATGAATTACTGATAACAACACCAGTACAATTTAGAATAAGTTTATTTAAAGGATCGATAAGTTTACACGGATCGCATCTAAATTGTCCCCAAGGGTGACTGGGGAATAGAAATATGGTCTCTACAGGTCTTCTTCCGACCGGCAGTAGAACCCTTGCCAAAGTGGGGCGTCCGTTTGGCTGTGCGGGATGTACAAGTACGCAGCCACGTCCGGTCAGAATGGGGACGTTAAATCCGATGCCTCGTGTAGAGAGAGTGCCACGCTCTCTGCACGTTAAGAACCCTTGCAACAACTCTTTGAGGGGTCCGTAGGTGACCTGTTGCAAGGCAAAATTGCTGTCCCTATCCAATTTACCCTCAGTTTCCAGTGGCAGTCTAAATTTCCCCGACTTTCTTCCCGGATGGCCTACATTACAGAACCTACCTATTGTATTTATTGTTAATTTGTTCTCGTCCAGAATATGCATGAAATATTTGCCACTGGACGTTTAGCAACCAACAATCAATCAATCAATCTAAATTTCCGTGCTCGGTAAATAACATCTCCGTAAAAATTAGGATGTGCTATCGTTTGAACCCATTTTTGTTTAACAGGTACAGCTAAACTTCCAATTCAAATATTTGTATCTGTGGAAGAATTAAGTAAATGTTTTAAGTAACGAAATCGACTTAATGATTAATCAGTAATACATAGATTATTCATCAAAGGGAACTTTAAAAGTTTCCAGCATGCAGTAATACCTAATAGGAATAATTTGACAACCACTGTGCCTTATACGATGAATGTACAGCTTTTAAGGCTGAAAACTCCACAATCTATTGTTACAATTGTACTATTTCTATTTACAGTCCCGTACAATTTTACAGGAAAATTAGACAAAAAGGTTGCATCTACATTTTTATGTCAAAATGGCTGCAGATATGCACAAAGGTACCAGGGTGAGGAAGAACGAATAAGAGAAATAGAAGAAAGGATAGAAGAACCAGAAGAAATTATTATATAGAGTAAATGTACTTAGCTGTAAAACAATTCATTTCTCCCAATTTTTTACCACTACAAATCTCAGAATTGCGATTTTCTTTCATTTTGTAATTTTGCAAGGTTATTTATACGTAATTAAATTCTATTAAAACACGTACACATGATCTTGTTATTGATACATTCTACTGTTGAATAAGTTGTACTTCCTTGTCACCTTTAAAGATTTAGAAAATTTACGAAAGACATGTACAGTATGGTGTACTATCGGATAAAGTCAATACGGAACTCAGCAGTGAAAGTGTTAATGTGTAAACAAGGGACAACGATACCTTGGCAGCAATCTAAATATCGGTCAAAAGGAAAAAGCAATTAAGAGTGAACAAAAAATGCACAGCAATACGAACATAACCAAGTAAACTGGAAATGTAGGCTGTTTCTGCTCCACGGCCTACTATTAGAACTTGTTGTGTTAACTGTGAGAGGTAAACATCACGAAGTTTATTGACAAAGACCCGTTAATATCGCCATTGAGTTTCCGTTAATTTTGATTCGTATCACAAAGCAATCGTTATTTAACGCATCCGTTAGATAGACCGTCAAATGTTCCGTTCAACCCGAAAATTAAAGTACCCGGTAAACGGGCACTTGACAGTACATGATAAACACAAGTATCTAAAAGTGATTCGAAATTAGCAAAGTTTATAAAATATGGTTGTAATAAACTTTAAACTAGCTTGCAGTAACTGTAATTATTCTTCGACCGGTACTTTGTGTCCTTTTGTCTTTTTCTGCGTCTTGCCAATCTGATGAATCAAGTAATTTGTTTACCGATTGTTCTTATTTTGTGCAATTACACCAATTACACCACTGTTCATGGTTAGAGGAAAGTTGAGCGCTCACAATTATGTTTAACCGTACCATATTTATTATCTGTCTGTCCGAAGTCAGGAGCCTATAACTCATTGATTGTCGATTCTTTTCATTTATTGATTTAGCATAAATCAGGCCATTGGTTCTCATGTTTGAATTGATTCACATTTTGTTATGTCGTGGCCTTTTATAGCTGACTACACGGTATGAGTTTTGTTCAATTTTGAAAGCCCGCGTACAGTGATCTGTTGTTGCTCACATCCACGTCATTTTGGACTCTGGTAAATAGTTGTCTCATTTGCAATTTCTTCTTACTTTTATATACATATACATTAATAATCAGACAGTTGTTTGATTATACCACCCCTTTTATCTTAATCCACGAATTATAATCTGCGTTATTGACAAACGTACATCGTTCTAATAACTCAACTTAGTTTGTATCAACAATCCTTTCCTTCTGCTAATACAAAATGTAAGTACTATTCATAAACATTTCATAGAAAGTCTTGGCAACAGAGGTTTCGTTGAATCATGATATGCATTTTATTTACTTTTCAAGATTTATCTTATGCAAAAGTATGAAGATGTGGTATGGTTGCCATGAGGCAATTCTCCATCAGAGACAAAATGACATAGATGATAACAACAATAGGTCCCCGTACGGCCTTCAACAATGAATAAAACCCTTACTGCATAGTAAGTGTAGTTTTTATTTAAGGAAAGCATTTGATTAAGATATATATATGTTGTGTACAAGTTATCATTTTGTACAAATTATAATTTGTAGAAAAAAATTGTACAATATATAATTTGTATTTTGACTTTGTACAAATTGTAATGTGTACAAAAAGTGCTTGTACAAATTATAATTTGTAAAAAATTTGACTAAAATTCACTTATAACTTGTACAATAATTTATAGTATGGACTTTGTTATAAAAAAAAGCATTGACACACACTATAGAATTTTTATTCAATGACCACACAATAAATCTTATTTACAAAATACAAAAATACCCAGATGGAGACAGGAAATGTAATTGATACATGCATTCCAGTTAGTTCTGATTGTACAATAGAATTGGATCCTGTTGACAATTCTGATAGAATAATAAAGATTGGCCCCAGTGACAATTCTGATAGTATAATAGAAATTGGCCCGAGTGACAATCAGGTTGACACTGATGTTGAAACACCAATCATACGTGCCAGGAAGCGTGCGCTGTCTGGCCAACAGATCCAAGCCAAATATCTAACCAAGAAAACGAAACAGAAATTATCAGAACTTACTGTGGGGGATAATGTCATTATACCAATTCCTCAGTATGATCGTGCCCCAACTAATCCTCGAAATATCTTAGGTGTAATTATTGAATCTGGTGAATTTGTGGTACCGCATTGGAACAGCTATATGAATTTTAACATGATATTTGTCGAGAAACCAAATTGAAGCTGTTTAAGACGCATCTTTATTCGCAGCAATGGTTCCTAAGCTTCAACTTTCGCTTCGTGAAACAATTAAAAGGCTTTCAAAAACTGGTGGTCAGAGGTTTCTTTCATGTAAATGCAAAGGAGGGGGGGGGGGGTGCAGCACTTCTAAATGTAAATGTAAAAAGCAGAAGATGTTGTGCAATTTCTGATGCCATAATTCACTCACGTGCTCAAATAAATGATACAGAACTATTTTTGTATTTTGTAAATAAGGTTTATTGAGTGGTCATTGATTAAAAATTATATAGTGTGTATCAATGCTTCTTTTTATAACAAAATCCATACTATAAATTATTGTACAAGTTATAAGTGAATTTTATTCAAATTTTGCAATTTGTACAAGCACTTTTTGTACAAATTACAATTTGTACAAAGTCAAAATACAAATTATAATTTGTACAAATTATAATTTGTACAATATGATAACTTGTACACAACATATACATATATATATATATATATATATATATACAAGTCTAAATTGAAAACAACGTTCAAACCTATGATTGCGTTGGATAAAAACCGCAATTTTTATACGTGTGCAAGCAAAACAAATTTCTTGGTAGAGGGGTCTAAATACAGCACAAACAACATTTTCCAAAAGACCAATAAAATGAAAAAGTATATTTTAACAAAAGGCATTTGACTAACTAACAGGTGGAACAACTGATGTTCTTAAACCCTGCTGACTGCCATTGGCGATTGCCAAATAAACGTATCACCAGATGTAAAAAATGGATCTTAACTATTAATTTAATACCAAACAGAAAACAATACACTTGCGGAAAAGATGGTATACCGCAAACATGAGGTGCAAAAATTTGTACACCATATCCGGATTAATGTCTCTTCAGTGATGTTAGGAATCTAAACGGTATTTGGAAGGCCATATAATTTACCTCAATTTAGGATACATATATATACAAGTCTAAATTGAAAACAACGTTCAAACCTATGATTGCGTTGGATAAAAACCGCAATTTTTATACGTGTGCATGCAAAACAAATTTCTTGTTAGAGGGGTCTAAATACAGCACAAACAACATTTTCCAAAACACCAAAAAAAATGAAAAAGTATATTTTAACAAACCGCATTTGACTAACAGGTCGAACAACAAATGTTCTTAAACCCTGCTGACTGCCATTGGCGATTGCCAAATAAACGGATCACCGATGTAATAAATGGATCTTACTTTTAAATTTAATACTAAACAGAAAACAATAAACATGCGGAAAAGATGATATACCGCAAACAAAAGGTGCGAAGGTTTTTGTACACCATATCCGGATTTCGACAAATAATGTCTCTTCAGTGATGTTAGGAATCGAAACGGTATTCGGAAAGCCCAACAATTTACCTCAATTTAGGATAGACTCTTAAATTTTGAGGAGTCATATATATATATATATATATATATATATACATATAAGTGCCTATAAATAGCAGCACATGACATACAAATCTATGGGAGTGTGGATTAATCAGTACAGAGATTAATTCAATTACACAAATAAAATTATAGATTGCCTAACAATGTAATTTTAACACACTATTTAGTATGTAAATATAAGAATGTTTAAAATATTTACAAAATGATGAAAATAAACGCAATATTTCGCTAGACTAACTAGCTTTATCAAGCGTGCATCTATCCAGGTGAAATCGGATGTAGATGATAAGAAACTTTTGCAGCTCAATGTATATGTTGCACTTGAATTTAGCTGCCTTGAAAATAATACAAAATTGGTAGTTGAAGTTAGCAACGTCCATTGGCCAATATTACAGGATAAAAAGGACGATGCTGTGTACTAAATTATTCTTTATCTTTCCTGTATCTTTTCTCATCTTTTTCGTTAAGACCATCAGGTTCTAAAGTGTGGAGTTGGTGGATCCAAAAATTTTCTCTTCTCCTTCTCGCCGTGGTGTCCCACTCGGTGTTGACTTCTATGATTTGGAAGGTAACATTATCAAAAGAATGTTTCGTTGAACGAAGATGTCTTGTGAGAGGACAGTTTTTGTTGGTTTTGTACCATGAACGATGGTTATTGAGCCGAATATTAAATTTGTCCATTGTTTCTCCCACATACTGAATGCCACATGTGTCACATGTTAATATATAAATTGAGTTCTCCGTTTTACAGTTGGAATTTGAGTAGATGGTATAATTTTGTTTAGTAACGGAGCTGATGAAAGAACTGCTTGTATTGGCAGCTTTACAACACAAGCAGTTCCTTCGACCACATTGTTTGTAGCAACCGGGAGATGGAGTAGGCTGCTTTGCTAATACAGATGTCACTAATTTGTCACGGATGTTTTTAGGTCTTCTGAAGGCCATGACTGGTGGTGAGGAAAATACTTTTTTAAGATTTGAATCATTTTCTATAATTTTCCAATGATTCTGAACAATGGAAGACACATTTTTAAAATCAGGATGGTAAGTGAGTACAAGGGGTGTTCTGTTAGCTGCTTTATTCTTATCTTTGTACTCTAGAAGTTCTTGGCGACTAGTTTTGTTTGCTCTTTCGAAAGCGCTATCGATGATGTTGTTATTGTATCCTCGAACAACTAGATGTTTACGTAGTTGTCCAAGTCTAGCATTTTGCGTATTTTCAGTAGAGCATATTCTCTTGATTCGCAATGCCTGGCTGAATGGGATGCCACGGGAGCAGTGTTTAGGATGGCAACTTTTAGGAGAAAGGAATTGATGTTTGTCCGTTTGTTTGGTATGAAGGTCCGTTATAATGGTTCCGTTCTTGATGTAACTCGTAGTGTCGAGGAAGTTTAT